AGAGAGAGAGAGAGAGGGAGAGAGAGAGAGAGAGAGAGAGAGAGAGAGATAAAGAGAAACAGAGAGAGAGAGAGAGAGAGAGAGAGAGAGAGAGAGAGAGAGAGAGAGAGAAAGAGAGAGAGAAAGAGAGAGAGAGAGATGACAGCGAGAGACAGAACCTACCTCTTCAGCAGATTGCACGCCTGTCTTGACCTCGTGCACATTTTTTTTTTTTTTTCAAATTCCTTTTTTTTTTCTTTTATTTTGAGATAGGCGCGCCATATCTACACGGCGCACGCTTGTCTCGGCTTGATGACAGAGTGTTGGTCGCACTCTCTTTCTGACACACACACAAACACACATTGGCATACTTCGTCGTGTGTGAGTCTGTGTGAGAGAGAGATACACACATACACACACACACACACACACACACAGACAAATTACCCCTTCAGCACATCCCACACGTGTCTTGACCGCATGCACGTTTTTTTTTTCTTGTTCAAGTTTCCATTTTTTTTCTTTGTTTTGAGACAGGCGCCCTGTCGAGCGCATCGGTCCCGCACCTCATAAGGGTGGGACCCTCCCGCCCGCGTCACGTAGGAGTTGGTCTACCTCGTCGCGAATACACATGGAGCTTCCGCAAGCCGCTCCGGCCGAGTGCGCCTGCCATACCTCTCGCTAGCCCCTACGACAGGATAGGGCCAACGCGAGGCACAACTTACCTCCACCTTACGGGAGTTGTCACCTCCCTTCGGTGGGCGTATCCCCGCCGAGCTACCAGTCCACAGTACGAAAGCTAATTAGTTCAATCGCAAAGGTGGACCAGTCGAGGGCGTTTTTCGTTCGCTGTAGCATAGGGGGTACACACGGGTTTTTCGCCTCTATTTGACCCGCACACGAACCGACGCACTGGGGGGCTGAAGTCCCGAGCGCGACTCGCCGTCGGTCGACTAGGACGCATCCCACATACCACGCGTTGCACCGCAACTCTCACAAACACGAAACGACACAAAACAAACAACACAACAACACTCCTAGTCCCTTTTGTAAACAACCCATAACTCTCCGACGTGGAAAAGCGGATAGGCGATGCACGCGAAACTTAGTATAAAACCGTGCGGACGCAGGACCTTCCCATATCGGCTAGCAATGCATGAGTACGCATGCAGTCATAATGATG